CACAGGATATCCTGATTCTCCCACTGTTTATCTCAAAGGTGTTACTGCTAGTAAAGAATTCTCTGTGTGGCTGCCAGCAGATGCAGGGACAGCTGAGGATGAAGCAACACTCCTGGAGTGCAGACCCGGTTTTTCAAGGGAGGGCAACCTCATCCCCAGCATGCTGAATCCCAGTACCTAAATCCAGTTTCCTTGTAGCAACAGCACAGTTGAATCTGAATGTTAAGAAGCAATAAAACTGGTGATATCTCACTCCAGAACTCTAAATGCTCTAAATGCATCCTCCCCATAGGTTCCCTATTTACACTGAATGGCTTGGAGAAAAGTAATGGAGTCCTGTGGGACATCATACCTCAGTTGCCTCCAAGCAGTCCAGCATTCTGCAGATAACCTCACAGGAAGGATCAGAGATGTAGGAAACAATGCCCCCAGACATATTCCCAGGACCATGCAGCCTAGAGGGAAAAATCTTGGTACAGTAGTGTTGAGATAAAAAATGTGGCTAATATGATGTAATGGTGCCTTCACTTTGTGCCTTAAACATCTCAAGAATTTTCTGCTTTCTTTCTTTTCATTCCAAATAGTTGACTGGCAAGACAATGAGGATTATAAAGAACCAGGTGTGAAATCTTTGCAAAGAACTGAAACTGGAGAAGGGATATTGGACAATCAGGGGGAGCCAAAGGTTCCTGGGGAAAACCAGTTGAACAGTAGGATGGAGAAATCCTCTATTTTTCAATATGGAAAAAACTACATCTTCCATACCCAATACCATAAAGAAAATGGAAGCTATTTAGAAGGTGGGAAAATGTTCAGGAATAAATCAGATGTATCTGAATATAGCAGAACCCACCCTAAACAAAAGCAGCGTGAATGCAGAGAACGTGGAAAAAATAATGATTTGAATCTCGGTCTTAATTTACATCAAAGCATTGAGGTAGAAAATCCATATAAATATCCAGAGTGCGGGAAAATCTTTAACGAGAACAGTACTTTTAATACCCATAAAAGAATCCACAGAGTAAAGAAGTCATATAAATGCACAGGGTGCAGAAAGAGTTTCTATACAAGCAATGATCTTAATTCGCATAAAAAGACCCATGCAGGAAAGAAACCATGTAAATGCATGGAATGTGGAAAGAGGTTCACTACAACTAGTGACCTTAATTCCCATAAAAGGATTCACACAGGGGATGAGCCATATAAATGCATGGAGTGTGGAAAAGGCTTTACTCAAAACAGTCAACTTACCTCCCATAAAAGAGTCCACACAGGAGATAAGCCATATAGATGCACAGAGTGTGGAAAAAGCTTCACCACAAGTGGTTCCCTTATTTCTCATAAAAGGATCCACACAGGGGAGAAACCATTTAAGTGCATGGAATGTGGAAAGAGTTTCAGCATGAGCAGTAACCTTACTTCCCATCAAAGGATCCACTCAGGGGAGAAACCATATCAATGCATGGAGTGTGGAAAAAGCTTCAGTATGAGCAGTAATCTTACTTCCCATCAAAGGATACACACAGGGGAGAAACCATATCAATGCATAGAGTGCACAAAGAGCTTCAGAGACATGAGTTCCTTTACTTCACATAAAAGGTTCCATACAGGAGAGAAACCATATAAATGTATGGATTGTGGAAAGAGCTTCACCACAAGTGGTTCCCTTATTTCTCATAAAAGGATCCACACAGGGGAGAAACCATTTAAGTGCATGGAATGTGGAAAGAGTTTCAGTCAGAGCACTTCCCTTACTTACCATGAAAGGATCCATACAGGGATGAAACCATATCAGTGCATGGAGTGCGGAAAGAGATTCAGCACAAGCAGTCATCTCATTTCCCATAAAAGGATCCACACAGGGGAAAAACCATTTAAGTGCATGGAGTGTGGAAAGAGCTTTACAATGAGACGTGGTCTTACTTCCCATGAAAGGATCCACACAGGGGAGAAACCATATAAATGCATGGAGTGTGGAAAGAGCTTTAGAAGTAGGAGCGATCTTATTTCCCATAAAAGGATCCATACAGGAGAGAAACCGTATCAATGCATGGAATGTGGAAAAAGCTTCAGTTGGAGTGGTAACCTTACTTCTCATAAAAGGATCCACACTGGGGAGAAACCCTATAAGTGCATGGAATGTGGAAAGAGTTTCAGCCAGAGCACTTCCCTTACTTCCCATGAAAGGATCCATACAGGGATGAAACCATATCAATGCATGGAGTGTGGAAAGAAATTCAGTACAAGCAGTGAACTCATTTCCCATAAAAGAATCCACACAGGGGAGAAACCATTTAAGTGCATGGAATGTGGAAAGAGTTTCAGCCAGAGCACTTCCCTTACTTCCCATGAAAGGATCCATACAGGGATGAAACCATATCAATGCATGGAGTGTGGAAAGAAATTCAGTACAAGCAGTGAACTCATTTCCCATAAAAGAATCCACACAGGGGAGAAACCTTATCAGTGCATGGACTGTGGAAAGAGTTTTAGAGACTTGAGTTCTTTCATTTCTCATAAAAGGTTCCACACAGGGGAGAAGCCATATAAATGCATGGAGTGTGGAAAGAAATTCAGTACAAGCAGTGAACTCATTTCCCATAAAAGAATCCACACAGGGGAGAAACCTTATCAGTGCATGGACTGTGGAAAGAGTTTTAGAGACTTGAGTTCTTTCATTTCTCATAAAAGGTTCCACACAGGGGAGAAGCCATATAAATGCATGGAGTGTGGAAAGAGCTTTACTAATAGCAGCCAACTTACCACCCATAACAGGATCCACACAGGGGAGAGACCTTATCTATGCACAGAGTGTGGAAAGAGATTCACCACAAGTGGTTCCCTTACTTCCCATAAAAGGATCCACACGGGGGAGAAACCATATAAGTGCATGGAATGTGGGAAGAGTTTCAGCCAGAGCGCTTCCCTTAGTTCCCATGAAAGGATCCATACAGGGATGAAACCATATCAATGCATAGAATGTGGAAAGAGCTTCAGTAAGAGCAGTCATCTTTCTTCCCATAAGAGGATCCACTCAGGGGAGAAACCGTATAAATGCACAGACTGTGAAAAGAGCTTTCATACAAGCAGTTACTTGATTTCACATAAGAGGATCCACTCTGGCGAGAAACCATATCATTGCATGGACTGTGGAAAGAGTTTCAATACAAGCAGTTCCCTGACTTCACATAGGAGGATCCACACAGGAGAGAAACCATATCAGT